CCCCCCCCCCAAAAAAAGAAGGGGGGTCGTACGGACTCCACTAAGATCCCCAACCAATGATGTGCCCTGTTTTGAACGGACGAATTCACCCACCTCAGCAATAAGATGCTGGTTCTTGTCAAAATTTTCTAATAAGTCTTCGAGTTGCGCAGTAATTTTCTCATGAACATCTACCAAAGGTTTTATTTTCCCAAAAATTTGTCTAACTGTTCCCTCATCTATCACAGGCTTATTTTTAGCGACGCGTTCTAATAGAGCGTCCTTGACCTGAATGTGAAAAATCTACGTTTATGCAATGAAATATTTAAGTGACAGCTCACTTTAAGTAATAATTTAAGATTATCAATATAGTTTCTTTCGGTAATATATAGCTCTTGACAAATTTTGAATTTCTCACCAGTGGCACCATCAAGCATGGTTTCTACGATTGAATCTGAACGCGATTTATGATCCTTCAAATCCGATTTTCCTATTAACCATGGAAGCTTGGACCGAAACCTCACCACAAGCTGTAATATACGCATCTTCAACTATACGTGTTTCTTCGAGTTCATCAATGCACGTTGCTTCGAGTAGACACAGGGAGCCGCTCCACGGATTCACCATTGCTGTGCACATTCTTGTTCGCTAAACGAGTGTGAGTCTTTTTCAGCTTATTTTTTTCTTCTCTCTCTCTCCCTCTCTCTCTTTCACACAATGTGGGCCTCTTCCCCTCCCTAATATGAGCACCGATAATGTTCAGAGAACAAGTGATCCTGTAGATCCTACAAACCTCAGACGAGTACTAGGACGACGGCAAGCCCTGTGGTCTGGCTTCTTCGAAGAAGCTCTCTCAAGACATGAAAGTTTCAGTGTTCCTCGACATAGGAGAATCCTATGGGCCACTCTGGCTAGCAACAGGGACTTATTAGAGCCGTACTGGCTCCTGATCTAGGGACGTCATATCTCTCTATATTACCTGTCGTCCCCTAGATCAGGAGCCAGTACGGCTCTAATAAGTCCCTGTTGCTAGCCAGAGTGGCCCATAGGATTCTCCTATGTCGAGGAACACTGAAACTTTCATGTCTTGAGAGAGCTTCTTCGAAGAAGTCAGACCACAGGGCTTACCGTCGTCCTAGTACTCGTCTGAGGTTTGTAGGATCTACAGGGGGGGCAAAAAAGTCACTTCTTCTTCCTTGACTTTCGAGGCGCTATAAGTTACACTTTATTATATCTGATCGGACATTTCTACCACCATATTAAAGAGCATACTATCGTGATACCACAGCCTTCTGGACCAGTGCCATCGAGAGATTCTGGCGCGGACCCAGCTGCTGGCTTTCTGTCTTCTCATTGTCAGATCAGCCGAGATAGTCGATTATCTTCCGCCACCTGGTAGGACTACCCTTGTGCAACTCTGCCCCGCCCAACCGCATAATTGAGGGCCCCGTTAAGATCAGCAGTGAGCCTACTTTGAGCCTATTCCAATCTTCTTCAGAATATCTCAGCCAGCCGCCCTTAAATTCCAAGTAGGCGAGAGTTTCTCCAACGCGCTTCGATTCCAGGTGCGCCCGGTCCATACCATCAACCCGCGCCTTGGCGACTGCGGTGAAGATGATGTCCTAGACCGTGGCGACGTTGTCGGAGCTGCTCGATGTTGGAGGTCTTCCAGATCGAGAGTACTGGTCTCCGTAGCTACCCATGGGTGACTCCACACTAGAAGTTTCGCAGCTGTTTGGAGGTGACATGAATTCCAAAGGTCTTCTCCAGTCAGGCTGCGACTGGAGATGACTTCATATTTTGGTGTACATGAAGGTGATGGGCGAGAGCCAGCTCCTGCTTATCGAGGAACATCTTGGGTATCTTCCGCCCTGGTACTCGTATCCACGTCCTCTGTCTGGGCTGCGAAAACTTTGCTGATATGTGACTCGGTCGAAGTGACTTTTTTTTGCCCCCCCCCCTGTAGTCGCTGACTTGTGAGTCGGTCACACGGTTAACAAGACTCGCGCGGCGTGTATGCCGTCCGTCCCTCAGTTCCTTGAAAATACGGTACTTTCCTGAATTTTGACGGTTGACGGAGTTTATAATAGGGTGTTCTAAAAGTTTGTGACATGTTTCGAATCTCCAGATCTCTCCGCAGCTCTTTCGAGATTCATTTATGTGGGCTTTGGAAAGTATGTTAAGTAAGCAGCCCATAGTTGCTCTACCCGTTCCTCGCGGTCGCTGTTCTCGTATGCAAAACGATTGGTGAAAGTCATCATTTTCGTCACGCTTCGCTATATGAATCTTCCGCAAGTCACAGTCTAGTTGAAGAGGCACGCGACATTTGCTTTGAGCTGTCCTGGTGCTACCTTCTATAGTACGGCGTTGAAATGGCCCGATCGCTTCCGCTCAAGTGATTTCTGTGTGGGGTCCATACCTCGTCCATAGAGGCCATCTGCCTCCGATTCTGACCCACTGCGTTCTTTGATTAAAACCAGTTCGTAGGAATCAACTCGCTATCTAGTCCATACACTTGACCTTTCTAAAGGCATAAATGACAGAGGTTTTACTACTTCAAAATCTATTGGAGTTGTCAAAAGTTGAATCTTGTGATAAGTATTGTGATAAATTCCTGGTTCTATCGTAGATTGCTCATTATAGTGTCGAGTGGGTGAGGCAACAACCCCAACTGGTGAGTGGTACGAAATGACAGCAACTGTTGGCGCATGATGGGAGGCCCAGGAATAGCAGCGCTACACAATTCGCAGTCCATTTCCGTTGTAATGCGCATTCCCAGTTTCAAGTTGTAACTGATCATATGTAAAAGCAAGTTTGCTCGAAGACACATTGTGTCACACACCTCGACAGCTGGGAGAGCTGATAGTGACATACACCCTCAATGTGTGTAAGCGTACCATGTGTCTAGGCACGTCCCATCACGTGCAGACGCTGTCCCTGTGGGTAAGGGACCTCTCCTCACGTATAGAGGATCTACCGTTTCCACCGGCTGCGAAATAAGTGATCGCGTCCTGACCGCGGCTGGAAAGGCAATGGAAAGCCCGCTATAGCCGGATACAAGCCGATCGCCCGGCTGTAACGCCGCAGCGTCCTCTTTCTGGAGATTTGCCGCGTGCTAAGTTAAGCATCGCCTGCATCAGCCAAGAACTGAAAAGCAGCGCTTGTTCCGTCAAGGCGCAGAAGCAGCAGCAGCGCCCCCCCCCCGCATCACAGAAGGAGGAAAGCCGGCCTTAGCCAGCGATCCGACTGGTACGTTCATAACCTACACGGAAATAGTGCAGCCTGTTTGGACAGCCACTGAAGCAGCCTATAATTTATGCAATCTGTCTTCCTAAAGCGTCTTGCTTTGGAATGCACTACCGCATTCAGCAGTGGAACCCTTTAAATGGCCCTCACTGAAGTTGCTGATGGAAGATAATTGTGGTAAGAGTGATAAAGTCAGTTGCTGCTGTTCATAACATCTCTGTAAACAAACCACATGCATTTGGAATAGAGCTGGCTTAGCGGTCGTACACGATGTCGTTACTAATAAGCAGTGAGGAATGAGTTCTGTTGGAATCACTGAGATCGTTATACTTGAGTCATATCGATCGCATTGTTGTTGTGAGCGGTGAAGCGGATTTTCCCATGCTACCTTGTCAATTTTAGCTCCTATCACTTCCGTACCCGCCAATAACACTCCCGTCCCGTATCACTATCATATCACCCTGTATCGCCTCTCGGATCGAGGTCCCACTGTTGCTGTAACCTGCGTTACGAATTTGATGACCCTCCTCTTCCGAGGCCCCTTATCGGATCTTATCAACTGTTATCAGCTTCTGCCAGCCCCACCCTACGGCATATCAGTACTTGAAATCATGGTCCCGCCGTTGCTGCAACTTGCCACGAATTCGGTCACCCTCCCCTTTTAAGGCCCCTTATCGAATCTTATCAAGTGTTATCACCTCCTGTCTTTGTCACGCCATCAGAAAGTGTTCTGCGTTCCTGGCCAGTGGTTATTCACTCGCTTTAAAATCACGGTCCCGCCAGCTGCTGCGACTTGCGCTAAACTGTTCGGCTCACCCCCCCCCTTCTAAGGCCCCTTCATTGAATCTGATCAACGAGTGTCCTTGATCACCTCTGTCACCCATCAAAAGTGTTTCCCGTATCGAGCCATGTCTATCACTTCTTGAAATGACGGTCCGCCCGCTGACTGTCAATTGGCAGCTACGATTTTCTGGTCACCCCCCTTCTAAGGTCCCTTATCGAATCTTATCAAGTGTTATCACCTCCTGTCACGCACCTAAAGTGTTCCCGTCCTGCCATGTATATCACTTCTTGAAATCACGGTCCTGCAGCTGCTGCAAATTGCGCTACGATTTCGGTCACCCTCCCCTTCTACGGCCCCTTATCGTATCTTATCAAGTGTTATCACCTCCTGACACCCACCAAAAGTGTTCCCGTCCTGCCATGTATATCACTTCTTGGAACTGTCATCCTATCTTTTCTGCGACGCTCGCTATGAATTTCGTGACGACAACACACACACACACACACACACACACACACACACACACACACACACACACACACACACACACACACACACACACACACACACACACACACACACACACTTAGCGGATTATATATAGTAGGATCGCACGCAACATTCATTTCATAGAGCTAACGGATGGTGCGGCTGTTCCGCGACTAATTCTCACTCCACTCCGAATGGTAAAAGTGATGTGAAAGGCAAGAGACGATCTTGTAACAAGCTGAACTCTCACAAGCACGCCTTCACCGCCTTATGCTCGTACAAGCTCGGATAGTTTCCCATCTAGACATAAGCGACCAGAATTTCTAGCACTTCAGTAGTAGAAACAAGGGAGTGCGGACAATACAGCCGAATAGCTCCAATAAAAAACGATGTTGTAGTACGGGAACACATTTCAACTACACGGTTGCCATGTCACATTTTTGAAGATCAAACTGTGCGTGCTTCTCATGGTTGTTGAATGCTCATAGAAATACTGGTAGAAATTTTGAAGCTAACGCACTACCACTTCTTGTGCATAGTGCATTTCATAACGTGTTTGCATGTTCACATATTTCACCAATTGTCTTCGACACAGCTCCACGAGTCTCACTTCCTTAGTTTACCCGATTGCCCTTGTAGTCCAGAAACCGCATATCCGCAACATTGACACGGCTTCAACAGTGTAACGCAAACAGGTCAAAGTAGCACCGAGCGTCCAGACTGCGATTTCTCGTCGGCACCATCGCAGCCTGTACTTGTTTTGTAGATCGGATGGTGGATCGGAACGATGAAAATATCCACCAGTGCTGAAACTCCACATAAAACCGAACACTGCCAGCCCTAGCACATAGCAGCTGGGTGTTGTCAAAAGTGTTTGTAGTGCGCGACGGCTGAGATTTTCTATCACTGTGAACTGCAGGCAAAATGGGTGCGATTCAAGTGCAAGCTGAACAAGCGAAATATTGACTAACCGTTATCTGAACAACCTCGTATGTTGTGGTCCCACAGAGTGATTTGTGCGATCGCACGGTTCTGCGTGAACCGAACATTGCTGGATTAGTGGACAAAATGAAGTGTATTCGCCCTACTGTGTGCTGAAATAATGTAACTTTATCGTTAT